GCCAAACCCTGCATCCCCAGCCCCACGCCAGACCCCACACCCCCAGCCCCACACCAGCCTTGCCTTTGAACCCCGCCGACTGACGGGGGTCGGGGTCCTGCGGTTGGTACTTGGTGGCCTTGGAGCTCTTGGGACGGGACAGTTTCTTCTGGATGCGGCCGCCGGGGTTGGGGTCTTTCCGGCGGAAGGGGCTGATGCCGGCGGGCAGCCCTTTGCTCTTCACCTTCTGCTTCAGCTGCGACACCTTGTGAGCCACCTTGCAGGCCAGCTTGCCCTGCGACCCGCTCTTCTTGCACCGCACCTTCTCCTGGGGGGCACAGGGAGGCTCGGGATGGGGTTGGGACCCCCCCAGCCCCAGGGTGGGTTTCACCGGCGGTGGGTCCGGACTCACCGGGGAGCCCTTGAGGCTGCCGAACGCCGCCTCGGCCAGTTTGCTCCTCTTCTTCTTGGGCTCGGGGTCCCCCCGCAGCTCGGCACACAGCAGGGACAGGCTGGTCTTCACCGACCTGGTGGGGAGCACGGCGTGGGCATGGCACCCACCCGACCCCCAGGATGGACCCTGAACCCCCCCGGGATGGATCTTGAACCCCCGGCCCAGATCCTAAATCTCTGTTTGCATCCTTCATCCCTGTCCAGATCCTTCATCCCTGTCCAGGTCCTTCATCCCTGGCCAGATCCTGCATCCCTAGCCAGACCCTGCATCCCTGGCCAGACCCTGCATCCCTGGCTGCATTCTGGTCCAGATCCTGCATCCCTATCTGGATCCTGCACCCCTCCTTGGGTCCTGCATCCCTGCCAGGATCCTGCATCCTGGTCCAGATCCTCCATCCCTGGCTGGATCCTGCATCCCTGTCCAGATCCTCCATCCTGGTCCAGATCCTGCACATCCCTGTCCAGATCCTGTATCCCTGCCAGGATCCTGCATCCCTGTCCAGATCCTCCATCCCTGGTGGGATCCTACATCCTTGTCCAGATCCTCCATCCTGGTCCAGATCCTGCAGCGGCGCTGGAGCTCGGCCAGTCGCATCCGCACCTCCACCTCCTGCGTGTTGAGCTGCTCGATGGCCGCCTTCAGGGGACAAACCTGGGGGAGAAGGAAGGGGGGTGGCGAGGTGGGGGGTGGGCAGCTGGCAGCGCCGGCAGCCTCGGCCCTTGGGCTGAGACCGGGCACAACTCATCTCACCTCCCACCCTTGGGCTGAGACAGGGCACAATTCATCCTGCCTCCTGCCCTTGGGCTGAGACCGGGCACAACTCATCCCACCTTCTCCCTTTGGGCTGAGACCAGGCACAGCTCATCCCACCTCCTGCCCATGGGCTGAGACTGGGCACAACTCATCCCACCTTCTCCCCTTGGGCTGAGACCGGGCACAACTCATCCCACCTCCTGCCCATGGGCTGAGACCGGGCACAACTCATCCGCTGGGGCCCCCGGGATTCCCTGGGGAAGCCGAGCTGGGAGGGAATCCCGGCGCCTGCCTGGAGCCAGCGCTGGAGCAGAGCCCCACAGAAAGGACCGGCCGCCGGGCACCGCACACGCGTGCCGTGCCGTGCCGTGCCACCCCCTCGCCCCCGTGCCACACGCGTGCACGTGCAGCACCCCCTCTACACACACACACACACATCCTTGGCACTGCCCACAGGCGTGCAGCCTGCACCGATAGGCGTGCAACCGCAAGCTGAGCCCCCCCCGCCATGCAGATGTGCATGCAATGTCCTGTGTGTCCCCCCCCCAACCAAAAATGCACACGTGTGTGCATCACCAGCGTGCACGCCGCTCCTGCACGGCTGCATGCCTTGCACAGAGTCATGGACACCCCCCTCAGACCCCCTCCAACACCCCAGGAAGGCGGCACCGAGGGCTGGGGACACGGTGGGAGAGGAAGCACCGGGGGGGCAGAGGGCATGGCTGGGTTGGGCGTCACCGGGGCACAGGGGGGACACACCAGGGCACGGGGGGGACACACCAGGGGACACATGACACTCACCTTCCAGGGCCAGGTCGCAGCGTTGCCGGCGCAGCTCCAGGTCGGCCAGCTCGCTGAGCAGGGCGATGCCGGGGATCCCTGAGGCGTGGGGGGCGGGTGAAGGGGGGGCCGGGGGGGGCTCCCCGGGAGACTCCAGCGCTGGCAGCTCCCCCAGGTCGATGCCGGCGGCGATCAGCGCC